GATTTCACTCATTTACAGCATCTTCATAGCCCCCCTCCCCCATTCCAGCCTCCCTCCTTGGGCCAGAGTCGATCTGATTAAGCCACTCCACAGTCAATACCAGCCAATAACAAATGGCTTGCAGAGAACCCTGGAGGAGTGTTTACACGTAACACTGCCCATCCCAGCAAAATGAGGGGGGCATTTTGGGACCCCGCCTGCACGCACTCCGCTTAAGACACCTCATAAATTAGTGCCAGCCCGCCTGGCCCCGCATTCCAGCTCTGATGCACCAGTGCTTATCAGGAGGGGCCCTTCTTCCATAACCAGTCAAAACCACTGTCACCCCCCTCCTGTCATTCGTTAACTACACCTGGCAAAACCAGCAGAGAATGGAGAGATTTGTCAGGGCTGTGTCATCTACACCAGCGATCGCTCTGAAAAGAGAGGTACACCACTCAGTTTTTCATTAATTACAGTGTATTTATTTTTATATTCACGTATCCATTTCTTTATTTACCTGTGTATTAGGTAATCAGTATTTAAAGTGAAGCTACTTGTTTAATTGCTTGTTAATTAACAAATAGTATCATCTTCTTTGTTCCTCTGTCCACTCAATTGGCTATGCATTATTTAAGTGCTAATTATAAATGAACCACAAATTTCATTGCTAATGTGCATCTAACTAGGGCTGCCTGGCTGAACGCCTGGCACAAGGGCTTCCGGTAACAGCAAACCAGCCACTCCTCTCCTCTGAAAGGCTTACTTTTAAATTGGGTTATTCCTGTTCTTTATGTGCCGCTGAAAGGAGACTTAAAGGCCTAAGCGAGACAAACTTAAAGGCTACAAACCTTTCGAAGATAATTCTTTTTCTAAATCTCCTTCATTCCAGTGAGCGCTTAGTGTTTTTCATTGTTGCTTAATTTCATCCTATACCTTACGTCTGTCCACTGCAGCTTGCTATCTGTAGGAAGGGCTGAGTGATTTTCAGATGGCTGTAAGCGTTTCTCACACTGCACGGTGTGAACGCCGTCCTCAGGTCCCCAAAGGCCACACGCCTACGCAGCCCATGCATGTGGGAGTGTCTGTGTGTGTAATGCGAACACACACACAGGAAATGAGTTGTGTTCCTTTAATTGTATTCTGCTTCCTGCAACTATATTTGGGCTTGGTTGCCGTTGGAGTTTTCTTTTGCAGTTTGTAGGCATTTAAAATATTTTATTACAAAAGTAATTTATTTTAGTTTTGTTCTAAAGTAAACACAATCTACGTTGTTAATTAAAAACTTGTTCGAGTTTGAGAAACTAATTTTTACAGAAATGAGCTTTTGCATAGGGAGAAATAATTTTTTGAACATTTATATCTTGTGTGTCTGATGATATCAAGGATCAAAGCAAAATGAAACGAGAGAACATTATCTACCAGTGACAGAATGATAGAGCCTGAAACGAGAGAACATTATCTACCAGAGACAGACAGGTAAATGATAGAGCCACCTTCTAGTATCCTGAACTGACTGTATGCCGTCCCTAAACACATATGACAGTTTATATGACAGTTCTTCACAGACCTGTTTCCACTATAGCCCTCAGCTTACACCTGAGAATTAACCATAAACCATTAGGCGCTTTCACACCGCCGGAACTTTCAACTGGAACCAGACCCTATTTCTAGGACCAGGGACTTTTGTTGTGTTCACACCGCAGAAACTCAGCCTGATTGTACTTCTTCTGAGGCGGTTCCAGAACCGCTTTTCAGTACCGAATACAGACTTGGTACTTTTCATTAGAACACAAACTACTGGGCTGGGGATGCCCTTACAGCCATAGCTTGCTGTTGTGTTGCCCACAAGCACCAATGCTAACTTGGAAGTTATGCGAAAGTGCAGGAAAAGAGATGTAGCAGAAAGAAAATTGAGCAGATGGAATTATTTTTGTACCCCAATTACATTCAATGCATCAATTAATGCATTTTTTACTTGTGTCTCTATATTTCTGCATCTGAAAATTTGATCGCTAACCAATATACTTTTGTCTAATATTGCCGGTGTAATATCGGCTGTGTCCCATTCCGATTGTGACTGATCCCCCCCAATAACTAACAAATAACTAGCAAAATGACTTTATTATCCTCCATTGTTTTGGCGTGGTGATGTAGTTTCGTATGAAATTACATGTGAAGTTTAACCTGCAAACTTTTTGCATCTCCCATGTTTATTTCTCATAAAGGTCCTAGTTCCTGTTGTGCGGTGTGAAAGTGACACAGGTAAGTGTCCAGGACCTACAAAGTTCCAAGTCCAAACAGACCAGGGACTTGTAAACAGGGACCAGGTTCCGGGAACTTCAGTGTGAAAGCGCCTATTCCCTTACACAGCACTAGGGATCAGTTTAATGCTTACATTTGCCTTGAATTACATTTGCATTTGAATCAAACTAAACAACCTGTTTGCCCATGTAAGCTTTTATGACTATGAAAGCAACCGGCAGGTATTTCGCATGCCAGAGATGTCAGCTCATTTAATCTGTTCCACAAACTTTACAGATAGCCGAAGAATCTGTCTTTTGTATTTCTGACACATAGGGGCCAACACAATGGTGAATTCTGGGTAATATTCAAAATGCATTTTTTACCGCAGACAAGGTATTTTAAAACATATCTTACCCAGTTTTTTTCCTCAATCAATGCATTTTGCTATGGACACAGATGTGTCTTGTCACAGACTCATTTGTCTGTGTACAGACAGGTTGACGATTCTTGCTGACAGTACAGAAATGGCCTACTAGTAGGGCTGATCTAAAATGAACCTCCTCTGGAGTTATAGCCTCCGACTGCACTGTCACAGCAACATAATGTGTGATACCAACATAACTGCAGAGCAAATTTCCACTCAGTCCACAGGATTCATTTCTGCAGACTTAGTGAGTTCTGAAAATGTAACAAAAGTTCTTCGCTGGATTACATGAGGAATACGTTTTGGCTGCCAGGACTGTAACATATGAGGAGGCAGTCGGAATTAAGGCCATTAACGGTCTCAACTCAAAAACACAAAAAATTAACTGGGTGAATTTTGGAAATTTCTCTTCAGTTATGTGCGTAGAAGAGCCAAAGGAAGTGAGAAATACACAGTGAAAGCACTTCCTGCCTTACTTATTCTGTATGAAATGTACAAAAGTTCTGTGTATAGAACTGAATATTGTCATTCACAAAGTTCTTCATAAAAAACAATATTTCCTTTAAAATTGTTGGCCTGCTAGGCCAGTATTTCTTTCTTGTTTGTCGTACAGCCATTCCAAAATGGTAGACCTGTAAACAGTTGTTCATTTAGAATTTAAATTATTTCCTCTTTCATTGAGAAGAGTTTTCCCTGAGGACAATACAGTACAGCCTCCCTTATTTAAGTGTTAAAATGTTAACACATACATGCATCATATTAGCTGCTGAGCTGGTAGTGAAATGGGTTGTTGTTTGTAAGTGTCGCCCAGCTGCTGGATTCCTCCATGTGTCGTCTTGGACACAGTTTGTCGGCAGCTTGCTTTGAGGGTTGTACATTATTTTTTTTTTAATACACGCCTCCAAAGTCACTCTGCAGTGTCTCTGACTCGTACCTCATGACTTAGTCAGACTTTGACGGGTCAGACAAGCTTCAATTTCTTATGCCAGAAATATTTCTTTTTAAAAAATGTTGAAAATTTGCTTGGCAAGGGGATGACAGTTTTTTTTTTCTTTTCTCAGAGAAAGCTACTTTCTTAGCGCGGTGGTGACCAGGTGTGTTCATGCTGATTCACATGCCTGAAGTTCCCTGTCATTATCCAGCTGATTTTACCGTGCACAGGCTACATAAAAATGCTTCTACTATAATTCTTTTTTTTTTTTTTTTTTTTTAAACTGCACCTTCTAACAATTTTTGAAGAATACTTTTAGCTCCAGTAGTTGACATGATGTGGTTCCCCACGAATGGTAAAATTATCCTAATCTCATAAAAGTCAATGTATCTCAACAATGTTGATGTGTGTTTTTTCTATATAGTTATTGTCTGGTGGTCTTAATTCGTAGCTTGATGACAAGTGATCCACTCGTGGATGGAGTGAACATGTGACTACGGTGTAGCAGGTCTCTAGTGGAAATACAGCTGATATACCTTTATTGTATACCCTTCAGTGAATCCTTTGTACCCTTCAGTGAATCCTTTTTATTTTCTATTCTTGATTTATAAGGGGGCCTAGGGTTTTTAATTCTAAGATATCTATGCTACTTTAGATCAAAGTGATTGTCATGCAGCTAAATGAAATACTGTGTTAAGCCAATGAAAAAGTGATATCCGTGACTAAATCAAATTTGATGTATTCTCCTAAAAAGCCTTAAGACAAGCAGAGCCTTTCCTCAAAATGTACAGCCTGGACTTCTATGAATGACATACTGGTTTGTGACAGGCAACTGGGAAGGTAAATTATGTTGTCCAAGCACTTTCCTTAAGGCTTAATCTGAGCCGAGGACATGAGGCAGACTCAGCTTCATGTGCCTCCAGATAGGCCAGTAAAGTGAGGAGTATCAACATCCGTCACAATCAAAGGCTGCAGCCAACGATTAGTATTTTATAGCATAACCCCAGTCAGTATGAACACGCCATCTTGTCCCAGCTGTTAGAAATGAGCAACGCTTACTTACTACTACTGTGAAGCAAAATCTAAAGTTTACCATTTAAATCATCACATATATATGTGTGTGTGTATGAACAGTTAAAACGTTCCACTTTCCAATTTAAACAGGGGCCACATTACTCAGTAATTGCATATATTTAAATGATCACGTTCGTTCTGCATCTTTAAATTTTGTTTTTCTATATGTATTGTTAATTGTTTTGTGTCAGTACATGAGGACTGTGACACGAGATAGGTATTGTAAAAATTACAGGTTGAAGTGGCTGGCTTTTCGCTTTGGCCATCGCCCTACCCACTTCGCAAGGTCAGTGGGTGCAGAAGGCCGGACTTAGCGGTCCGCTTCAGCCCGCAGCCGCGAGGCGAGGCGATAACGCGCGTGCAGCTCGGTGGAGTTCGGGCGCCGGTGGGGAGGACCGCTCTCAGTCCCGTCAGCGCGCGCTGGACGAGGGGAAGCACGCGCACTCCGCGTTGGGATGACACGGGGACGGATCGCTGAACAGATGTATAAAAACACACGCACTTTGCTGGGGCTCGGCAGCGAAACCTGGGTCTGACATCTGTCGGGAGAAGAACAGAAATCCGGACGCCGGGAAGCCCGATTATTTTTTATCGCATCTATTTTTGAACTCAAGTTGCTTGGGGGCTGGGTTCCTCGCCGATATCTACAGAAATGAATAATACCACGGATGTTCACTACATCCAGCCGATTTTGTGTTATATCATTGGGTAGCAGCTGACAGCGGTCGTCTAAACCATCCGTAAAAAAATAATTTTAAAAATCGCTTTATGTGTTTGTTACACTTGTTTTGTATGGAGTTGAACATGTCTTGAGAGGAAAGATTTGACAGAGAACATGACTGTAAGTACATTCTGAACTGTTATTGATATTTAATGTACAGTTGATGTATTTGTTGGTAATCCGTATTTCATATTAAATATGACAACTGCTTTAAGGACGAATTATCGTTCTGCATATGACGTTTCTTCAAAATTTTAGCCGGTGCTGTTTCATTCTATTTAAAAATTAATTTCTAAAAACACGATGATGTTACAGTGCGTATTTGCGGAACGACTTGTGCACTGAATCTATCTGTCCTAAATGCAACGCTAAGGATCGAGTGGACGATGGTACCAGCGCTAGTTTTGTGGTGACCATTTAGGATCTTTACTCATGGCTCTGTTTCTATATCGTATCTGTATTGATACCGGGTGGGCGTTTAAGATACTGTTTTTGTCTCAGGACCTTTTCTGAGACATGACATCATTTCAGGACCAATGACTTGGCATTATAAGCCACGCGATTAAAAAAAAAATCTTCCGTAATTCCCTAATGAAAAGGATGCCATGTATAATGTTACCACCCATGTGCGGGACCACCGGTTTTGCATAGCAACTTCGGCTAGCAAGCCCACATCGTAGGCGAAGCGTGAGGGAGAGCTCGATGTTCAAAAACGAAAGAATACCTACGTCAAGGAGGCTGCAGGGTACTGCTTTTTGTGGCAAAGTTGGGGGGGGGGGAATAATAATAAATCGCCTTTAACTTAATAAGCGAGCGTGTTTTATGGAGAGGAATACAGGCATGCCGCCGTATGCTGTCTTTCACGACGGGGTTCTGTGCAGCTGTCAATTTGCATGTATTGTGTGCCAAAGGCGCTCTCTAAGCAGGGGAAGGACGACAGATTATTCCCACTGGATACGCTGAAGCGGGTCCCACCGTATCAGTACCAGGAAACGAGTTTCTTCCTCTGACTCACTTTAAACTGTGACTTAAATAAACGATGGGGGAGACGTCCAGACACGTCCGTGTAAGGACTAACGTGAGAAGCATAGGACTATTTCTACTTTGTATATGAAATGTCTTGAACATCTCGGTTCATCATGATGGAGTCGTTGCCCTTTTAAGGACTCCAGCTACTGCCTAAGATTTAAAACGGATTCCCACGGCTTTGTCATCGTCTCCAACTCTCATACACTGAGTTGTGGTTCTGAATGGAGACGCGACGTGATTTCTCTCCACAGGCCCTATTTATAGTTTAGCGCTTAATCTTTTTCGGTGGTCACGTAATGGTCACGGAATTTTTACATAACAAAGGCAAAGCCTCCATTGTAGGATCCACCCGGAGAGTACTCTTTATATGAGCATTTTGGTAAGGTATTGCATTGTAGCGATCGAGATGTCAATGTGGAATGAATTTTAGCGAAAAGAACAAAAACACGCGTGATTCCTTGTAACCTTTTTAGTGAACTTAGGGTGTGTGCGCGTGCGATCGCCCTGATCCTGGCAGGTGGGGACATGCGGGCAAGTTAGCTATATGCTTTGCCCAGTATGTGAAGTATTATTATGTTTCATAACTTTTGTGACCTCAGTGCAGGACAGGAAATCGACGAGATGAGTCTTAATACTTTGAGGCGAGAGAGGAAATATATCCGCCGGGTGGAGGTTATCCATGATTTCTGCCGACAGCTGTGACTCACGAAGGTCCCGGTGGCAATTTTCTCCGTCTTAGAAATGATTGGCTGAGCCGAGATGAAAACGTCTGAGCGGTCGTCATTGCAAAGGGGGCTGCAACGTAACGATTCTTTAAAAATGGACGCAAACTGCACAAACAAATAAAAGATATTTTCGTTTTATCACCCTGGGGGTCTCGCCGTGGTTCTATATAGACTAAACAGCATTACGCATGTACGAAAGTCGGCAGTTTGTCTTCCTGACGCCGTTGTTAGGTTTCCTTAGCCTTACACCTTATTTTACTGAATTATGAAGGAGTGGAGAAGCGCTTGGTGCCGTCATCTGCTCGCCCTGAATCCTACGCGGAACGTGCCACAAGGAGGCTGTCTTAGCGCTCTGCTGAAAAAGTGAACATTAACGCACTTGGCTTTGGTATTACTTGTCCCGATTCGCTTTTTTTATGCTGTTGAATCAGAGGCCTATCAGTAGTATGACGTTTTCATAACCCGATCGTAGTATATAACTCGGGTCGATGCAGATACTAAGCCCCATGTTAACCAGGTCTGCGTGCACCTTGTAGTTTCGGTGGGGATTAGGAGTCTCAAGAGAAGCTGCAGCAAATCACTACATGGAAACTGCGGCTGACACGAAGTGCGTATGACCGGCAACTAAGCTTCGCGTCTGTTCGCCGCGCACCGTGATTCACTGCTGAGATGGAAAAAAAAGCGACACTGGATGCTGTGGGTTTAAAATAAAATGAGTAAAAGGTGCCTATTTCCCATTCACAACCAAGACACAAAGCAAGGAACCGGGTGATTATAAGCCAGAACAGTAGTCATTTGATGAAAGAGCAAAACAGGCTGACTTTAGTCATTTAAATAATACAGGTAATGTCGTGGTGGATGCGTTGACGTTTGGAGATAGTTTGGTACTCTAAGAGCTGAAGTAATGTTGTACCAATAAGCATTAATATGTAGCTTATTGGAAACATTGTAAATTCTGTTCAGTTCCTCGAGGTATAGATTTCTAGTACTAAACAGTCAACTGCCCTTAACTAAGTCATTTTTAGTACGCAAACACCGTACGCTTGCTACTGTATACAGCAACACATTCACTTTGTCGTGTTTTTGTTGCCTTTATAGCTAGAAAATCTTTTCCCAGTCACCCTCTTGCTGTAAGGACATTCTTAATGGGTCTGACATTTAAAACTTTTAGTGGATTGGAATATGTATCTGTTGTCTTAAGCAGATAATTTGTTCATATGGCAACATCAGAAGTGACATTAATCCCAGAGGGAGTTTGATTCTTGCCTGGTAAAATGACGTTAACTGCCAGTGTCACTGTGGGGGTCTTTGCCACTGAGCAAAACTCTTTTCATTTGTGGTAGAGAATAACAATGTCACAATGTTATTTATGACATTTTAAAGTATATGTTTCATTTGTGGCAAAAACCATGGAGAATTCCTTGAGAAGGGGAAACAAACCTTGCTTTGACATGACATACAGGAAAACACAACGTTTGTTCATACATTGGAAATTATTTTGTGTGCTTCAGATTAGTTGCAATTTGTGGGAGGTGCGCAGATATAGTGGCGGGAAACGTGAATTTCTGCAGGGAGGGAATGAGTCTGTTCCTGATGTGTCACCTTTGATCTGACCCTGTTCGCTCCTTATTTTCCTGTCCAGGACTACAGGGAGGATGGAATGGACCTGGGGAGTGACAGCTCAAGCCGCTCCAGCTCAGAGTCCAACTCCAACAAGGTGACCCCCTGCTCGGACTACAAGTCCCCCCCCAGCCTGGACCTGGTGACCCTGGAGGGCTATGAGGAGGATGAGGATTACCAGGAGTACAAGAAGAAGGTCATCGAGGAGTGGCAGAGCGAATGTGGGGACTATGGTGAGCGGCAGGGAGGCAGCGATGGAGGAGGCGCGAGTCGAGAGCTGCTGAGGGGCCGCAGTCTGGCCGAGGAGCTCCAGGACGCCAAGGTGCCGCTGGCATCGCTGGGCGGCCACACGGCCACCACTGCAGCCGCGGTGCCCGAGGAGCTCAAGCAGAATGGCAACATCATTGTGCCCATGAGTCGGCACCAGCCCCCACCCAAGACTGCACCCAGGAGAGCGCAAGACGTGGGCAGGGTGGGGGTGCCGGGCCGCACCCCGGGGGAGGACAGAGAGGGCTCAGGGACCCTCAGTACCCCGGAGCCTCCACTCCCCACTATGGACTGGGCCGCTCTGGAGAAGCACCTGGCTGGTCTGCAGATCCAGGAGCACGAGTTACACAATCAGAACCAGGGCCAAGGACGGACGAACTACACCTCAGTAAGTGGGTTCTTCTCTTGTAGCCACAAGTGGGCCCTGGCTGTTTGGAGCGTCAGTCTGCCTTTCTAGCTCTGTACCACCATTTTACCTGAGAGAAGATGAAGGACAGCTCTTGGCTGTCAGGCAGTTAAAGGCTCAGCGGCAAAGTTAGGATGTGACAACAGCGTCGTCTGGTGTCAAGGGGGGGCTCTGTCCCCCCAGGAAGGCACAGCACACAAAACAGAGCTCATTGTTCTTAAAAATGTGGCCTGTAGCCGAACTCTTAGCCAGTGTGTGGAAAGGCATTTCTCAGATGAAGATGGAGATAATGGGCTCTATTGTAACACTAAGTCATTTGTGGTTTTAATTGTCATGTTGTTTTCCGAGTTGTGGAGGCATTTGGTGGCCTTCAGTGGTGGGTAGGAAATGAGATTGCAAAATATGCCAAAAACAGCTGGGGAATAACTTCTGTTAGGTTTTGAAACCGTAAAGTATGTCATAGGTCTTAATAGGACGGAAAGCTGCCCACCAGTCTGTCACGTAGTGCTATATTGAGCCTTGCCACAAGAGGGCGCAATTGCTGTATTTTACAGCACGCTGGTTTGTTCCACTGATACAGCTTTTTCAGCAAGCCATCGTTCCCCGCTTAAGAAGCTCATTATTCACGCGGTCGTTCCTATAAATAGCCTTTATATATACACATTGATTGATCGTTTGCTTTTTAGTCATTGTCAACTCAGCAAATTTTGTTCTACTTAAAAGAGCGAGGCACCCTCTCATTTTGGCCCATTAATGTGTTAGACTAAATGAGCTGCACGTTATGTAATTTTTGAGCTGCGTTTCTCCCTCTGTCTTAGCCTTGCCATGCTGCAGTGGGTTTACGGCTGTCCATCTGGACTAATTCCTGCAATGCTATCAGCCATCTCTACTGATTGCAGGTTTCGGTTTTTGCTTTCTGGGGACCTGTTGTGTGAGGCGTGTGACATCATAGGTCAGGTCAGTGCAGAAATGGCTGAGAAGGCCCCGCACTGTGACCCGGCAATTGAGTACCACGATACGGGATCGCCTCTAGCTATATTTTATCACATGAGAGTTTTTGGGGCGTCACTCAAGAGGATCTGGTCATGGAGATGCCTTTGTTTTTACGGTGATAGCTAGCCATAAATACCCTAATAAAAGAGCAGTAAATATCAGGATCACAGCCAAAGCCTAACAGATACGATCATTGTGCCTTATAAAAGTGGTCATGGCTTATTGCCTGAGGCAATAGAAAGATAACAAACGTGTTCAGGCATCTATAGCTGGCCTAAGTAAATGGTGAATCGGGATAAATCAGGTATTTGGTTAATCCTGTTAGCAGCACTTATATATGCAGACTGGAGAGTTTGCTGGTGGCTGTCAAAGTGTGTGGTCCTTCTACATAAGAGAGTCTGTGCCATTGCTCTTCGGCACCCTGTATCTGGAACAATGTCAGTGGTGGGCAGGCTTTGTCCCTTTGACCCGCAGAGTGTGTCTACCGACGGGAAGGTATGCCAGGAATGTGAGATCCGTGGGGCCCCGGGCTTGGGGCCGGTGTCAGTCAGTGTTTACTCCAAGCTTAGTGTTTAATGATTCGCACAAAGTCAATGTTCGCCACCGTATTCAGTGTTTAGTAGAGATGGCACCGATCCGATACCCACTATCGGTATTGGGTGAGTACCGAGAAAAAAATATTGGAGCAGAAGTTCAGGGGGGCAGGTGGAGTAAGATACTGACCTGATTCCCCATCAGAGATAGATCTATCCCGGAAAATCGCAAAAATGCCTTAGCACAGCGTACTGTAAAGAGAAGCGAGGGCCTCATATCTCATTTAACGCTTACCAGCTGATAAAGCAGAAAAATATCGGATTGGTGTCGGTATCGTCAGGTACTCAATGTTTTAGTATCGGGAAAAATTTTAACATAAGAAAAAAATTATATTGCACCATTTCTAGTGTTGAGTGCTAATTTTAATGTTTAATTCTGTGTTAGTTGCTTGGAATTGGGTTTGATGGCAACCATCATGTTTAGTGTTTATTTCAGTGGCAGTGTTGAGGTTATCGTGGTTTAAAGTTCTGCACATTGTTTCCTGGCTGGTAAGATGGAGCCATTCCTCTTATAGCTGCAGGGTCACGGGAAGGTGCGTATAATTCTGGCCACGTTACTGCACAAAAGGAGTCTTTGAATCCACCATTCATTCGGACTCCACTCGACAGGAGTGGAGGTTTATAAATGCGGTTCCTCACGTAGGATTCCGTTACCATGGGCACCGGAGCACCTTTCTTTCCTCCAGGGGTGATGTTCTGATGATGTTCTGTCACCTTCGGTGCTTCCGTTAGCCTGGAGAATGGGCAGATTGGCATCAGAGGAAATATAGTTGGGCTTTCAGCTGCTGGGGGCATAGCCCCCCCCCCCCCCATCGTGACAGGGTCCCCTGAGGTGCTGATAATCTACTGCCCCTCCACTGATGGTTACCTCAGCAAATAACATCTCCCAGGATCTGACTGGTTTGCCGAAACTGGTGTCATTATAAGACTAGTGGTTAAGCAAGGAATTCTTGGCATTGCAGAAGCAACTACCACAAACCAGCTGGTTTCTTTGAAAAAAGACTACATGGTTTTTTTGTGGAACTTTTTCCTTTGAGGGGTGGGTGGGGCGGGGACAGTCAGTCCTGAGAAGACGTCTGGGCTGAGGCGCTTATACAGAACTCCTGTTCTGCTCAAAATGCAGTCAGAACATGGAGGTGATATTCAAGGCTGGTAGGATGTAGTTTATCTTTGATCGTCATGGAAACCTAGGCTCATATTCCTTTGAGAAAAACCGTGATTTGAGACCCCAAGCCTCGTGTGCTGGGTGACTGATTTGCCCATCAGACCTCTCTTCGGTTCTCTTCCGCTGTTTCTCCGCCCACGTTGGAAGATGTGTCTGATCACTCGTGGCTTTATTGAGTCGCTGTGGACAGACGTAAAAGGGATTGTGACGCATATGACGTCAGCGGGCTGCCCGCACACCGAGTCAGCGTGTGGGTGACAGCCTCTCGCTTGCCGTCACCTATCGTCAGCGTTGAGTGTCAGCTTAGATGTCTGACTCAGGATAGATCACAGTAATATCTTATTTCTGTCTTCTAATAAAATTGCCTTATAAGGTGTAACTACAACATAGAAAACAAATTATTTTGTTTGGTCTGGATAGATTTTTAAGCAAATGTACAGGCAGCAGCCTCTCTCTGCTATACCAGTGCTTAAATTTAAAAAGTAAGGGTGAAATAGTCTGTGCATTGCAGCATGTGTAGGACAGAATCTTGTCTGAGTATCCCACAGCAGTCTGCTTTTAGGTTACACTGTCCTTAAGTTTCCCTTCTACTCAACCCCAGTGAAAAGGCTTTGGCTGTTGGTGCTGTTGCTGTACGGCCAGCCTACCACGCGTGCCATAGTGGGCAGACCATGTGACTTTCACAGGGAGAGGAGAGCTGTGCTTGACACAAGGGCCACTGAGCACACAGAAGCGCTTGGCTCTGCGGGACGCTCCACCGGCGTGTGACATCTGTCGTCCAAGGGCCGCCTGGCTACACTGACACACTGGCTTTAAATCCCTCTGCTGGCCCGGGACGAGACTCTGGAACACGGACCATGTGAACCTGCCAAAAATCAGGAATTAGAGGCTGAGGGCAGCACTCTTCACGATGAAGAAACCGAGACCACTCTGTTTGTGTGCTGCAGGCCCACTGGCTAGTGTTAGCCATTAGCTGCAGTGCTGCATCCGTCTATGGCTGTGTGCTGTAATACAGAAGGCATTTTCTGATGCGTTTGTTGTGGCAGCTTATTGGTAAAAAGCTTCTCACCAAGTGAAATTGGTCATTTTGGAAGAACATCTGCAAAATCCTCAACTGCCTTTCCAATTTTGGAAAGATTCCTTTAATCTCCTTCCAAGGACTCTGCTAAAATTATCCGTCTGCTGAGTTATTTCCCAGTGTTCAGCTAGAGCTGCTTGAACAGAATTTATGAACTGTGTGTGTGGGGGGGGGGAGGTTTTGGGATACCTCCAGTGCATGAGGGGGGGTTCCTGTTCAGATCCCACCCCTACTGCGTGTTTGTGAATGGAGGAGGAATCGGGTGTCATTCCCTCTGATCACCACCTTACTTCTTGTTTTTCTTGGAACATGTAAGTAACCCCAAAGGAAAAAGGGAGCAGTTTGCAAACGATGGCCACTGGCAGTCAGTCAGGGCATGAAGCTGGGGTATATGCCCCCGTCTGGTACAGGGGGAGGTCTCTCAGTAACCCTTGTGGGTCTGAGCTTAGTCTTTTTATCAAAATGTAGCGCACTTGCATGGCTGTTATTGACTGCCCTAAGGCTCTGCATTCTGCAGCATGGCTGTTATTGACTGTCCTAAGGCTCTGCATTCTGCAGCATGGCTGTTATTGACTGCCCTAAGGCTCTGCATTCTGCAGCATGGCTGTTATTGACTGCCCTAAGGCTCTGCATTCTGCAGCATGGCTGTTATTGACTGCCCTAAGGCTCTGCATTCTGCAGCAGGTTTCCAGACACCGAGCAGAAGACAGACCTTAATCACAGAGAGAAATCACGCCCCAGAGGCCTGCTGGCCACAAAGCCGGTGCTGTGCCCAGACCTGCCTGCTGCCGTCACCCAGGAATGCTGCACGTTTAGCACGCCGGTGCTAAACAGTAGACCAGTGGAGACCGGTGGAGACAGTAGACCAGTGATTCCCAGCCCTTGGGGACTGTCCAGGTTTTTGCTCCTTCCCAGCTTTGTGGGCTGTCTGGCAGGGAGCTGGAAGGAAGCAAAAACATGGACTGGCGGTGGGTCCCCGAGGACCGGGTTGGGAAACTCTGCTGTAGACAGATTGGGGAGGTATGAGTGAAAGAGAGAGGGAGGGAGGGAGGGAGGGAGGGAGTGGGAGTGAGGAAAGGGCAGAAAGCAAAAAAGCAGTGGAAGAACTGGAGAAGTCCTGATTCTGTAACAAACCATGACCCATTAAAAAACA